CTAGAGACTTCTAAACCAGCGATGGCCTGACCCCCCCCTAAGAAGGATGGCCTCCAACCTAGTAGCCTCCGAACGCTCCTAGTAGCGATGCCCTTTGTTCCTAGTAGCGTCCTCGTGTTACTAGTAGTAAGGCCAGCCCTGTTCCTAGAAGCGTCCGATGGCTCCTGATCTTCTCGGATCTTCCCCACCTCTTTGCAAACGCCACCGGCGGCCGCATTTGCAACGGTCGGCACCGTGCAAGCAGCCTCGCAGGTGAAAGTCGCTGGAGAGAGCCTCGGCACCACAGCTTGAGTCTGACAGGCTGAAAAGCTGCTCCACCCCGGAAGCGTCACAGTCCTCAACATATTCTGTCATGGAATCGCGGAAGCTATTCATGATTATTCATGACTAATGCCAATCTCATGTCCAAAAATGTCCCGAGGGGGTTCTCTTACTATGTTCTAGAACATTCTAGAGCTCTCAGGAAAACATTGACCTCTGCCGGCTATGCATTGCAACCGACTTTGTGCACCCGGATGGCGTCTCGGAATGGCATCGCAGGCGTTCCACAGAGGGATAAAAGCCCGCCTGTGCCGTCTCGCAGCGTTCTTCGAACGTGCAGCGTCCAAGAACTGCCTAAACTGAGCGGTCAGGATCCATTCGGACCACCACTTGCTTCTTTCGAGTTTGAAGTCCAGGCAGTTGGATCAAACCTTGCCAAAACCAGGCTGAAACCCCCACAGTGCCTGCAGAATGCCTCCTCCCCCACCCCCTCCCTATGCTGCGGCAGCCCGGTTGGTCGGCCTTGCACTGCGTCGTGCAGCTCTCCCCCGAGTTGATGGTGGCTTCGCCCGAGCTGGGACCCTCCTGGCACGGACTCGACGAAGTCGCTTCCGACTACGACGGTGGACTACGGCAGTTCAGCGATCAGCCATGCTCATTGTTTGGGTTGAAAGGGGTTGGAGACCAAGGTGTGTGGGTTTTCCATGGTTTTCCTGTGACTGTGTCCTTGCAGCCGCTTGCAAGCGCATTCTGCACCGACTTGACTTGGCAAGGGTTCGGCTCGCACGTGAAAGTGGTCCTCAGGTTGACAGACGAGATGAGAAGTCATGAGAATACTCAGGAAAGAAAGGTTTAAAGGTCTACACGGGCCCAAGGGAGAATCATACAACAGGATACAAAATGGTCAAACAGAGAGCAAACAGCGTGTGATAGGAACAAAAAGTACAACATGTGGGCAACAACTTGATCCAAAGACTGCCAACAAGACACGGCGAGAACTCGCCGGTCTCTGCGCACTTTAATGTTGCCACCGAAGGCGAATAGCCTCCGCCCGTTGCCCGTAAAGCCGAAGAGCAACCGGGGAGTGAATGTTCTTAGTTTTTTGGAATGCGTTATATACTTTTCAAAAACAAGCGCTAGTAGTAACAAGTGCCACGCTACTAGTAACAAGTGCCTTACTAGTAGTAACAAGAAGCTACTAGAAACAAGTGCCTTACTACTAGGAGCAAGAAGCTACTAGGGGATCCTGGCCTTACTAGTAGTAACAAGAAGCTAGTAGAAACAAGTGCATCGCTTCTAGAAACAAGTGCCTTACTAGTAGTAACAAGAAGCTACTAGAAACAAGTGCCTTACTACTAGGAGCAAGAAGCTACTAGGGGCTCCTGGCCTTACTAGTAGTAACAAGAAGCTAGTAGAAACAAGTGCATCGCTTCTAGAAACAAGTGCCTTACTAGTTGTTTTCTTTTTCTATTTTTAGCCCGGTGGGGGTAGGCCGCTGGTATTGTAGAGGTAGGTCGCTAGTAGTAGCTGGTAGCTAGTAGCTGCAAGAACGCTACTACTTAGGACGCAGGATAGCTCACGCTTCCTTGAAGAAGCGCTCGCACTAATGATTTGTTTCCTACCAGATTTTTAGGGAAACTTAGCTATTAGCCATGGCCTCCACCCTAGTAGCGATCTCTGTGATTCTTATTATATATAGGGAGGATTAGCATGAGGGTGAATGGTATAGCATGCACCTCCAACCATGAGCATGGAGTCATGCTCATCTCGCACCTGTATAGCATCGAGTCTTGCACTCATGTCCAGGTCGTGTCCGAGTGGTTTCGCACGTGCCATCAGTAGCCCCTTTGAAGACATCCGGCTCCTGATAAACGTTGTGGCGTCCGCGTCCGCGTCAGAAAGCGGTGCAGCAAACAGTCGTCGTCGTTTCGCACCAAGTAATGCTGTTGGGACACATAGCATTGCTTCTCGCCCAAGCTTTCAGGCGGGTTCTGGACCCCACAGAGTTGAGCATTGCCACAGGTCTTGTCGTCTTTCAAAGCACATTCAAATCCTCAGATGTCACTTGAATTATCGTTGCCTTGTAGGAACGATGACACAGCTGTTCTAGTCCAAGTTGCCCAGACCGTTATTGGTGTAGTCCTTATCCGCCACCTCGAAGGTTTGTTCCACACACATGCACTCGGCCCACGGGCCAAGAACTCATATTCAACGAAACGTCGAGTTGGTCCAAGACTGTTGAACGAATGTAGTATGATTAGTATGCAATTCGAGTGGCATAGTGTCCATTGCAAACGTCGTGGGACAAGTCCGTGCAAAGAGGAGCGCCTTGCGAGCCATCGCTCTTCTCCTGTCGTTTGGTTGGGAATCCACGTGCGATTGAAACGGTGTAAGGAGGTCTTCTCTTAAGTCCTTCCTGAAGACAGAAAACGTCAAAGCGTCCTCCACAAAAATGCCCGTGCAGCGCAAGAGGCAATCATCCTGAAGCAAAAAAAGGAAATTGTTTGCTTGTGCTTGCGAATCGCCAACTTTTATCAGTCCACCTGTCGTGAACCATTCTACCAGTGGCCGCCAGTGGCTTCCTTTGTAGCTTGGGTCTTTGTTGACTCGCGCAACCACTATTTTCACATCATCCAAGCTGCCCCTGATTCACATCTGCTCGGAACGTCTTTGTTCGGCAAGCAGATCTGAGCAGGCAATCAGTGGAACGAATCAGACCAAACAGCTAAGGAAATAGTATTGTTGTTTTAACTTATTGTTTTATATCTCATCATCTGACTTCCTTGAACAAAAAGCTAGCAACAAGGGCATCGCTACGAACGGAGCGTTCGGACGCATCGTTTTAAGACCCTGCAGGATCCCAGGCCTTTAAGCTGCCCTGGCAATCGTGATAGGCACCAGTACTGCAGTTTTGCAACTGCGAGCAGGGATCGACACCTCAGCGCCGTTTTCACCCGATGATTTGGAAGAAATTGCACCTGTGCGTCTTGAAAGGATGGGCAAGAATATCTATATCATATTGTATCTATATATGATTATATATGTAATTGCTTTTGGCACGTGAGCAAACTCCAAAATAGATGTCACAAGGTTGAGCTGCAAAAGATCTGTTTTGTTCACTCATTTGGTGCTGTGACAAATGCTGACACGTGTTGAAACCTGCAGCCAAGGGTGCTAGAGTCACTTGGACACCTCGGAGTTTAGCACATGCAGCTCACGTTTCTCCGACTCCGGTAGAGCGCACTCTGAGCACTAAGGTGGGCACGGCAACCTTGGAGAAACATAGAGAACAATGCTGTGCTGCTTATGAAGAATAGTGAAGTGGCTGAGATGTGCTGAGCCAATCTAAAAGCAGGTTTAAAGGTATGGCACAGTACAGTATGTCCTACTAAAGCATTCATTCCGGGCTGCTAGAACACCGAAAGCCCTACACTCATGAGTCATGAGGGTGCCTTGCTCATCTTGCTCCTGATTGCTCGCCAAGGTACTGGCTCCCATCACATGTGGCTGGGCCAGTGGGATATTGTGGCAAGTATCTCGCACGCGCTCGTCGGGCTCGCCTAGTCCTGTGCGAGCGGGTCATAAAACGGAAGAGATTGATGACTTGCCTGACAGTTCCGTCGGATCTAAGGATCTTCAACGTGCAACCGAGCAGCTTAGAGATCCTGCCTGACTCCTTGGCAACAGAGGTTGCAAGATGTTGCAAGACCAGAGACTTCAAACGCAGTCACCCCGCTCTGTTTGATGCCATGATGTGCCGGTTGCAAACCGAGAAACTGCAAGCAAAGACGCTGCGCCCTTAGATTTGCCGTGCTCTGCCAGTGGGCGGAAGAATGGGAGCGAACGATAAATGTTGTCCTTCTCATTCCGCCAGGTGTCTGGAAGCTGCTCCCGAAAATGGTGATCATCAAGCCGTGCCTCCTCATATAGCAAAGAAAAGGTGCGTATCACGTTTACACGAACACCTCCCGCAGGACTATCAACTGTGGTAAACACATCTGCGCATTCATGTGAGCCTAAAACAATCCAAACGTTAGCTGTCCATGCTTTACGCTGGCCTTTCGGAGAAGCTTGTGCCGTTTGATCTGGGCACTGCCCTGTGGACTTACCTGCCGCGGCCAAACTAACAAGCAAAAACATGTTGCTAATGTTCGGTTTAATCACTTCAAGGATGCCTGGGCAGTGAGATCAGAGACATGTGCAAAGGCTTCTTTGTAGCCATAGATAGTCGAACCCCCGCAAAGCGGCAGGAGCAGCGCACTACCTAAGTTGCCCAAACAAGCAAAGTTGGCCAGGAAAATAGCTTTAAGTTGACTTTGAGCAGTTCATTGCCAAGAAGCCTAGCAAGAAGCACATCGACATAGCATGGAATCTGTGTATGTAACAGTAGACACCGACGTATTTCCGCGTCGCGAGCATCCCCGCGCGGCTGGAGCCGAAACACATGCGATCCAAACCACTTCCAGTGCGCCTGTCCAGTCCACCAAACCGAAGCCGCAGAAAGAGTGCTCAAGATCATTCAAGCACAGACTTTACCAAAATATTGGGTCAAGTATGCGGGTCGTTCGTCTCCAAAAAAGAACATGGTTGCCTACACAAGCAAGATTCTCACCTACCTACATTCTTGGTAGGATTATGACGGGACGGATTGGGGATTCTGGGCCAAATTCTGGGTATTTATGCAGTGGATATAGCCTTTGAACTTTCAGAGATTGGATTTGATCATCTGAGCTTGAGACTTGGAGTATCTCTGGTCATCTCCAGGCATATTCTGAGCAAAAAGAAGCCAAGTCAGTAAGAGTCAAGTGCTCCTACACCTCCCCTCCTCCCTGACCCTACCTTTTAAGGCCTTGAAATATCACACTTGGTTGAATGGCGCTCGCAAGGTCGTCGATAGATCAAGCACCAAGGAATGCCAATAATTCAATAAGCAAGCCGGCAGCCGGGAAATGACCATGCTGGTCCGTGGGAGAGAGTCCATAATCGTAGATGACCCCTAGGGCCTAGTTCTTGTAAGAACAGAAAACGACATCACCAGCATCGAGTCCAGCCATCAACGAAATGGAAGCCTATGTCTGTAACGCGACCGTTGGAACCTCTGGAAAGGCACCGTGTGGAGGAGCACCGTATATGCTTTAAAAAGTGGAGAGACCTGCCAAATGGCTGCGTTTAAACACAATAAAAGGATGTTGGGGAATCCAACTGGATCCCTCAAGTTGGCCACAACAGCCGGATGTATCGACTGGCAGTCAGTGGACAAAACAAAGAGAACATATTAAACACAATAAAGTGAAAAAAGGAAGCTAAGGGTGCCTTTGATAAAGTCCCTCTAAATGCTAAAGGCGCCCTTACTATCCCTATCTATCCCCTACCTTCCTTCTGTTCCTCTTTCCTCTCTTCGCTCTTTGTTACCACGTCTCCGCGTATCAATGAGACGGGAACTTGACCAAACAAAAATCTAGGTGTCACACGATGTTCGTGCCAGCTTTCGCTGCCTGACAGCAACTTGTATGTGCAAAGGATTCTTATTGAAGCAGGTGCAATTCTTTGCGGTTCATCGTGGCTCATCAAGCTACGGCCGTCTTGCTGTCTTGCTACGGCTGCTGTTTTGCCCATCATGGCCCCCAAACGAAAACACAGCCGTCCCCCTTTCCGCCACTAGTTCGTTGTCATTCGTTGATTATTAGTTCATGAGTCGAGATCGGTCCAGCCGCCGGTGCCTCATCGTCTCGAATGGCCCACCAGTCACTCACCACCTGTAGCTACAGAAAGCACTGAACAAGGAGTCTTCAATCTTCTCGCTACTAAGGCAGGTGCAAAGTTCCGATATCCTTGGGCCATACAAATTTGAACATGTTTGAACCACACAAGTCTGGCGTCAGCGTCACTTTCTTTAACTGCATGGAATCCAATCCCAAGACGCCGGCCCATCCGATCCCTAAGGTCTCGCTGAAGTAGGTCACGATTGCTGCAAGCCTCGGGACAGTGACTGCTGCGGTGACTGCCTTCATTTTGCCGACTCTGGCCCCTCGTGGACCCCCCGCAAACACACCAATAAAGGTCATTAAGGTCATAAGTTAATTAAACTAATATTACGTATTTATTACAACAAGAACACACATCAGGGCCTTTGAGGGCCTTCAGGCGCTTGATTCTGAAATGTATTTCAACCAGGCCTGTTTGCCATCCACCAAGTTGTAGGAGCACCTGCAGGGGTCCCAGGAGTGGGAATTGTGTGATTGCGAGGTCGAGTTGAGAAGAACCCCATTAGTTCTGCAAAACAAAGGATGCACTTGTCTCCATAGATGCATGGTGTATGTTTGCAGGAGTTCGGCTCTTTTCCCAGCGCCTTTGGCGTCGCTTTGGCCACATCACCATTCCCACGTGACTGAGGGAAACACCCCCAGAAACTGACATTGACGGATTCTTAGATATTCGGGTCTAGTATAGGGAGCTACTAGCGTCCGAGCCGCTCGCAGCGATGCCCTTTGTTACTGGTAGGGTCCTTGCTAGGAAAGGTGAGCAAGTCACATCCGAGTCTTGTGTCTTGATGTCCTGCCGTGGCCGTAGAACTCTCTGGGCCGTGATCACCCGGCGAAAACCCCCTGGCGCGGCTCGCTCAGTCTTAAAGCACCGTGCCTTGGTGGGAGCCGCCGGAATATGGACGGAACTTCCGAAGACAAAGTGACACATGTGATGTCATGACACTCTTGAAACTTGGAATAAGTCATGACATCCGTCCCGTCTCGTGGGCAAAAAGTTTCCCAGCATAGACATCTTTCAAGGACTTCAAACCCCAAACCAGGTCACACAATCTGCTGGCGCCGCAGCTCGTCCAATTCCTATCAGCATCGAACAAGCATCTGATGTATCTGCAGTCGTCACATTTGGAAAGCAACTCTCAACGACCTGAAGAAGGCAAAGCAACCCTAACGGAACGAAAGAGAAAAAGCGGCTCAAAAGATTCGGTTGAAACAATTCATAAACCGTATATTGTATATTTGTGTGTATGTACGTGTATGTATATGTATACTGTATAATTATGTATGCATAATGACAATGATAATACAAGATAATGCACCATCAATGCCCAGTGGTAGGGCCACCCGCGTGTCGACATGTCGGGCCTGTTGCTCACGGAAGAGCTCCAGCATCAGCGCTTCTCCACGGCATTGTGCCTCCTTCAGCTCTGCCTGACACGAACTACACAGGCAACACTGGCGCCAAGAAAACGCCAGTGCATGCACATTCAACTGATAATCATTGAGAATCTCTCGTGGCAAGAGTCCTCTTTCCACTCGAATCAATGCTGTCGCTGTGGGAACTGCAGGCATTGGGAAATGCCAATTGCAAAACCTCTTTTGGGATCGCACAATCAGTCACACTCACACGGCGGCAAAGCTCCAGCTCCTTTTCAAAGCTGGAGTGCCAGTGCCTGCTTCTCGAACCTACTTGGATGTCGCCTTAAAGAATGCAAAAGCACCTGCACAGGCACACAGGCTGATCAGTCCGACGACCACGCCGCTGTAGGGGTTCGACCCGGTCGAATACCTGAGAGAGGATTGAAAAGGAACACAGAATGCAAAGTCAAAAAAAACATTGTACCTGGTGTTCATCCGTGTTCTGGAACCCAGCGGCGCTGGTCCAGCGGTGAGTTCTTGTGGTGACGGCGTATGAGGTTCTCACTCGCAGGTGGCAGGTAGGCAGCATTTGGCAGGGCCTGGTTGGTGCAGTGGTGCGGTGCGAACGCCACACGTAAGGCGGCCTGGATCGCTGGTGAGGGTTGGTTGGCGGAATGATCAACGAAGGAAAAGCGAGGCGTCCTTGCTCCTAGCAGTAAGGCCAGGAGCCCCTAGTAGCATCCTTGCTCCTAGTAGCGATGCCAGGAGCCCATTTTGCCCAGATATGCCCAGATGGGATGGTCTTACCGCCGGTGAAAGTGAACGTCTCCAGCCAATCTATTCCATAATACGATTCCCATCGCTGCGAGCTTGACGTGTGGAGGGCGAGAAAAACTACCGAGCAGAATGAGTCCAATTTAAAATGAAAAGGGCAAATGTAAGTTACTGCAGGAAGAGTGGGGATGGTGAAATGGTGCACAACCTTAACGTTTGCTTCTAGACGTCATGCTTTGTATGCTGTCCCTGCCGAAGTCGTACATGTCTCGAAAAGGATGTGTCAAATGCTTTTCAGGTGTTAAACGTTGTCACTGCCCATTCGGATTCGGACACCGGGTCATGGTTTGTCATTCTTGTTCTTAGTCCTCATCCGTTGCTGCTGTGCACTTGCCAAGGTATTTCTACAGTGCTTCAAAGCACTGGTAATGAGGAACGTCATGTGGTTCCCAAAGCTGCCGAAGATGCGGAGCGTCTGGATGGCAGATCGATTTAGACTTGACCCGGTCGGGATGCCCCGAGAGATTCGGCTCGTTGATGGTCGATTCGCCGTGGAGTCGAAGGGGGAAGTCGGGGCCGGTAGCGTCTGATGTCTCAGGTCTTGAATCCGGTATATATAGTAGCTTCTTGCAGCTTCTTGTTACTAGGAGCTATTTGCTACTAGTAGTAATGCCCCTGTTACATCCTGTTACTAGTAGCGATGCCCTTTGCTAGTAGCTTCTTAATATCACTTTCTTTGCAAAAGAACGGAGCCAACTCTCCATGCTTGGAACAACTTTTGCAAGAAGCTTCAGTTGCCATAGCTGCTTGATGCTGAGTTGCAAAAAGTTCTCTGGTTTCAAGTGGCTCGTGCCATAGCGCGCAGCCCACTTCACATGCTCACCAGCAGCTTCTACACCACCAGAGGCTCGAGAAGCGTTCATGAGCTTCGCTGCTGCTTTGGCATAGGATGGGTTGCTCATCAACTGCGGGTCAAGTCGGAGTTGGGTGTGGAAATCTGTAGGCTCTGCACAAGCCACCCGAATCGTTGAGGACTTGAGGCTCGAAGACTTGTTCTCTGAAGGTTCTCAAAAGGCCGTTTTCCTTGTAATAATTAACTAATTATATAAACCTTTGACTTCTGAGTCTTTTGAGGTTGTCCGTGTGTAATTTCTCTGACCCTGCACAGTGCGCAGGCCAATTTAAGGGACCACCATGGGGGGATGCTCAAAAAATACAAAACGGGACCACACACGACTTGCGGACACTGTCGTCGCGCCCCTCTAGAGCCCTTCCACTATGTGGGGTGCCCGAGGGAAGAGTATAATGACAAGAACACAATGGTATCAATTCAATATGCACAGCACCACTCACAATACCGGTTTAAGACACGGAAGTGAGACAGAGGTGAATTAAGAGGAAGATGAATTCAGCCACTCTCAGAAATGGATGCCAGCGGTTTCTTCAGACGAAGGTATTTCTTGACCTTCTGGTACAAATTGTGACGGACCGAAAATGGTAGCGGAGCAGGCAACGGACAAGGTGGACCTGCATGGTCTGGCAAAATCTGGATAGGAAGGCGAACATTGAGCGGATACCCCTGGTCTGGCAGGGAGGAATATGCAGTTACACCTTGCATGGCTTGGTCGGCCATTGGCAAGTTGGGACGAGAGGAAATGCCGCCCACCAGACTCCTGTGAAAACCAAGTCTAACCAGCGACGATGCGCATGATATTTTATATCGTGGGAAGATCTGACATTGCATTGTATTTTCCAAATAGCGAACTATGCCACGAAGTGTAGAGGCTTGGTTACACAGGCTGCGGGAAGCCTTGGGTTGAATGGAAGCTTCAGCTGAATCATATGTTATCAGTCGAATCGCGAATCCAGAGAGGAAGCTGTCGCCCGGCAAACAAATGGAAATGAACCGCCAGTTCAATCCAAGTGATCCCGTAATCGCCACTAATAACAGGGGTCGTTGGATGTCGCCATTTCAATTGCTGAAAAAAGGCCCACACCAAGCACGCTTCTTGCACCCCTGCTGGACAAGCACGCGCCACTCAGGCAGAAGATCTGTGGTTAAGGTCCAGAAAGGAGCACCTACCAGCCATTTCGCAAGATGTTCTTTGTACATCGCCATTAGGCATCCACGCCATTTGTGTCATTGACATCATCGGGGTCTCGCTCCTTTTCGTGTAGAAAAAGGCACGCGTTTGAAGAGCATTCAAGTCGTGAAGAAAGAGCATTCAAGTCGTGGCTGTTTTCGCAAGATCGTTGTGCGTAAGCACGATGCGTAAAGATCTGATTAGCTGCATCGTTTCTCCCGTCCTGTATATCTTGCTTAGCTGTATCATCTTAGCTGTAGCGTCGGCAACATCATTGCCCAGTATCGAAAAAAGATCATCAACTGAGGATGCTGAAGATTTGTCACGATGAGACTTGACCTTATGGATATTGAAAAAGGTCTGGATTCCACGTCGATTGCAAACTCTGAATCAGATCGTAGTGGGCAAGATGAAAGTCTCTAGGTGTTAAGGTGTGGGGAAGCAATAGCTTGGACAATGCGGACTGTGAAAGCGGAATCCGAGTAAATATCGACCGGTCGAGAAGGGAAGAGCTGCGGGACTGTTCGAGAGATCCATTCAACTGAACCAAGCTCACCACGGTTTATGGATTGATTACCTGACACATGTGCCGCCTGGACAACCACAAAATCGTGGAAAGATGGGTCGGACGGATGATATGAGGCCTGCTGGACAACCGCCCAGGCGGCACGACAGCAGTTAAGGTCTTTGGGACGATCGCAGGGCCCATCCGTCCAAAGGTGAAGATGATCAGTGTCTGCAAAATTAGGATGATCCAAGAATGGACCCGTCCTGCATAATTTGAGACGGTTATAAATTATCTGCATTGAGTGAGTAGTTGCGATCGGAAAATACTGCAAGTTAGGAAAATCACGCAAAATCCGAATGGCTTCAGGATGTTGATCACGAACGTGTTGAAAAGACGCACACTCAAGGAGACGATGAGAGTGGGTATCATCCATACCACAGAAAGGACAGGCAATAGACTGAGTGCTGTCCCAAAGCTGTTTAACTGCTCCTGTCTGAAAACCCCCGGTAATGTTCAAGGCGATCAACTGGAGGGTAGTGTCTGAGAGCCGACCAAGAACTTTGTGTTGCGTGAAGAAATCAAAGGGGACATCAATGATGCCCTTACGATGGCTCACCTGGGACCATACATATGTGGACCATGCCTCCCGCAAGATTTTACGGATCTCATGGGTGGATTGGTGACGGAGGTCAACCTCATGACCACTGCTGGTTTGTATGA